ACGAAGCCCTCTGTTAGCTAAGGTGGATTTAAATTTGTCCCCTTAGACAAACATTCAACCCCGGTCTACAAGGTCTCCTTGGACGAAGCAACCCATGGCTGTCGACAAGGATCCTTCTGTCAGGTTGGGTCGACTACCTCCTCTGACTAAGTAGACCAGGGACCATGATGGCCCGGGATGACGGAACCATGGGATCTTGATCGGGCCCATCATCCATTCCCCCACCATCCGCTTTAAATAAAGGATGGTGAAATTTCTATCTTAAATATTAAATCTTTCCAAATATCCAAACTTCTCAAATTCACAAATTCAAATCCAGTTCTCAAAATTCAAACCCATGCTGCTATTATATGCCAGATAACACGTATTATACATATCTGATTGACGACTAGCCTTAATCGAAAGTTCTCTCTCGTGATCGGGAGGGGTAATTAACTATAGGGGCTTGCGCCTATAGGAAACCAGAACTCAGATCATAAAGTCCTCACCAAATGAGGGCAAAATCTCTGGGTAGTGTCTTATCTACAAACCCATATGCCTTCCAAAATTTACCTCGTAACTTATTCAGTTAAAACTCCCTCGCCGAAAGAAAAAAAAACGGCTGGGAGGCCGGGGCCGAATTTTCGGAGCCCACAGATTTTAAAAATACAATGATTTTTGTTTACTGAGAAATTTATTTTGATGTTTAAAAATAGTGATTTAGTTCAACTAAAAGTTTAGAATATTATTTTATACAATATTTAATAATTTGGTTAAATTCTAAAAATGTGAATTTTTGCTCAGTATGATTTTTATTGTCTATCATTAGGACATTTTGATATTTTTTGAATTATGCTTAATTATGTATTATTTTGCTGCAATATATTAGAAATGAATGTGAATATGTGATTAAGATTACTGTTATGACCGCGATAATAATGTGTGTGTAAAAGATAAGTAAATACTGGTTGATCCGTTTGTTGGAACTAATTGACATGTACATGAAGATCTTTATACCCTTTTTTATTCTATTCTTTTAAAATATTTCTTTGCCTTTATAATCTTTTGTACCTTCAAACTCCACAAACAATTCTCTTTATTTATGTACATATTATTGTAAACTTTCTAAAATTTTAATGAAAATCTTATTAATACATAAAAACATTTTATTTTACATAAATTTTGGTTTAATTTTATTTTGTTCTATTCATCTCTCTTAAGAATCTATCTTGAAAGATTTGTAGTTTTTCATCTTTCAAGTTTCATCATCTATCTCAGGTGATTATTTTTTTTTTAACTTAATCTACATCTACAACTATTAATATGAAGTATGTGATTTAATTATCTTTTGGAATCACCTCATGTTCATAGCTAAAAATTCCCTTGATGTTGGTAAAAGGACTTCAATGTAGCAAGCAAGAATATCATATTCATAAAATTAGCAAACTGTGACAGTTAGCTTGTTTTGCATCTGAAGAAAATACAAATGAGAAGATGAACTATACCTCAGGGATAAAAAATTTTCCTGTTAGAAGACAGAAGGCAGGCAAAATGCAGTAAGTAATCAAGGGAAGAGCAGTCCAAGCATGTATAGTCAAACTTATGTAGGATAATCGCTGCAGACACTTCATACCACCTCCATAGCCATACCAAATAGGACAATGCTTGCTGAGAAAAATCTCAACTGATCCCCGCGCCTGCTGAAGAACTAGATGAAGATAATCTGAAAGATCTGTTGGAATAGAACTCTTAAATGCTGTCCTTCTTGGCATGCAGTAAACAGATCGCCAACCATGGCAATGCATCTTGAAGACAGTGACCACATCCTCGGCTGCTGATCCATAAATCCAGCCCACCTGCACAAAAAAAAAAGGTATAACTAGTAAAAGAAGCAAGAAGTTGATTTTAATCATTTATCTAATTCATTTTAGAAATTGAAGATTTTTTTTCCTCGATCATCTTCTATGTGAAAATGAAATCATTATGTTTGAAGGTTTTATGTAGTTTAAGGCTTTGATTGGTATAGTTGTGCTGACAATATGCTTTTGTTTTGTTTTATGAAATAAAATTATTATATTCGCACGTAGATATACAAGTTGCTTTATAAGTTCATATGCTTATGAACATAGAAAAAGTATACATGCAATTCAATGCATACTATCTGCAACAACAACATCATGAAGCCTTTATCCCACTATGTGGTGTCGACTACATGAATCTTTTTTATCCATTGTGTATTAAGAGTCAAATTCTCATTTAAATGTAATAAACAAAGGTCATAATAATGTTTTTTTAGGTCTACCTCTACCTTTCTTAACATAAGCCGGATCTAAAATATCTACTCTCCTAATTGGGTCATCGGAAGGTTGACACTTTAAAATTATTTTCACAAAATTTAGTGGGAGAACACTGAACGAAATGAAGCATAAAACCATCCTTGTTGATTTGTTAAGTATATCTTACTAAATGATGGATTATAAAAATGTCGTCATTTTCTCTTTAGAATTTTCTATCTACAAAGAATCAAATGGGCCTCCTTTCCCCATGCGGTCTTGTCCTCATAACCACAACTTATAACTTGCAATGCTTCCTCCAAAGCTGAAGCATAACTATCGAACATTGAAATCGTAACATTTTCTGTAAGTGTGGAAGCTACAAATGCAGGTGAACGACCAAATTTCTTCTCAAGCCTGTCAAAAGGCACTAAGGAAGACATCTCTAGATCTTCACCTGCAAGTAAGTTAAACTTAGTATAATACTTTTCAAACTAATTAAAACAAGCTTTAAGTAATAGTCAGCAATCAAACCTTCAACTTCCTCTAGGATGGTCTCAAGTGAATGAACTTGCGCAGATATCTCCCTATTCTGCTTCAGGAATTTCTTATTTTCCTTATTTTTATGTCTTCTTTTACCTGTTATTCTAGCTGGACTGCAAAGAAAGCACCATTTTGTCCAAAAATTACATGAATTTCTCGGGTGCTTTTCTTTTATCGGAGCTTCAATTCCATACATAGCTTGCCTTCTGAAAACACATCCAGTGCCTAAATAGATTGGTCCTTGGATCCCATCAAGACCTTTCATGTTAATCTGTTCGTGAATGGAAGTGCTACATAGTAAATTATCAGCATATATATGATACTGAACTATCTAAAATCGTTTGCAAATATTTAATAACTTGTGGCATACATTGAAGAAAACTATACGATCCGAATAGCTGTCATTTTGATTATTCCCATCAAATTTGTATGGAAACTGCACGAAGCAAACCTTTCTTCCTGATGTGGGATCCATCATAAAGCACATGGCTTCTCTTAAAGCTTTACTGCTGTTTATATAATGTGTGCAATCCATATTCAAAATGAAAGGAGCATTTGATAATACTCCTGAAACACGTATCTGGAATTGGATTTATCGAAAAATAATCAGAAAGACTAACTCAGTCGGTGTAAATTCTTCTTGCAGAAACCTTAAAGAGGCGGGGGACTTGGAAAATACATCACCAGAGCATTCATGGCACCAGCCTTTTTATGGTGATTAAATCCTGGTCTCTTTTCAGGAGATACATAAACTAAACGTGGTAGCTTATCTCCATTTGCATCCAATGAATCGCCATGACCCTGAAATACCTGCTCAAGCATATGCATTACGAACATAAAAAAACAACTTTTGAAGGTAAGATTCAAATATCGTATTTATTAAAGTTATTTCATGGGAGAGAGTCTAATTTATTAGTACCCCTCTGAGAGCATGACATTAATGTTGTTAGTTTAGTGTGGAATCTGAATGTGTCGATCAATCGTGCTGTACTGCTGTTTTGGGCCTCAATTCTATCGGTTGAGCTTGCTGGGTCCTCCCCTTGTTTGAGTTTGGGTGCTTGGACCAAAGAATTTTTTCCCCGTACAACCGTACAACGCTATGGCGCTATGTACCTGAGCGTTGTGGCGTTGTATAGTTTGCTTTTTAGACAGACAGAGAGAGGAGCACTATGGTGCTCCAAATGTTGGCGCTGCGGCGTTATCAGGCAGACTGGAGAAGGAGAGTTGAGCGCTGTAGCTCTCCAAACTTGGCGCCGTGGCTCTGGGAGACGGGCTGATTGCTTTCTTTCTCGTTTTTATTAAGGATTGCATCACTTGGTGGTTTTTATATGTTTATCTTTGTTTGTTTGTAAAAGAATGGTACAATGGTAAAGAGAAATAAGGAGAGATATATATTATTTCTCCTAAATTTTCATAGTGAATTTTTGGGTGTAGTGTGGCGCTATGATTTTTTTCCAGTTTCAGGTTTTTCCACGTTAAATCCTAGTATACTTTCTTTTCGTTGCACTTTCTCTTTCTTGTTTGTGTTCATTGCGTGGTTTACTTCCCCAACAAAAATTAATAACCATGGATACTATTACATGCATTATACTTTTGGACTTTATTTATTTATCACATTTATATAAAATATCTAATAACATTAGAACTTAGATGCTTCCGTTTATGTAATAAATGTAATATTGTTGGATGTTTTATATAAATATTCAAATGATGTACAATATCATATGTTAAAGAAGATAAATGTTATGTTTATTTATTTGACATTTACAATATTTATAAGGGGTATTGTTGGGTGTTACAATAAATATATTGCGCACTAGCCACATTAGATTATCTAAAGAACAGAATTCATCACATGATCAAAATTTCTTGTCTTCGTTGGATAACTTTCGTATACAATAGTCTACACAAAATTAGATATTTCCTAAATATTGGGCGCAGTTAGTAGATATATATATAAAATCTGGAAAAGAATAGTGAGAAGTCGTAGAGTATATATTACAATATTTAAAGTTTAAAAGAGCAAACTTAAAATTTTAGAGCAATTTTGATTATGATATAGAAGACTTACATCACATGATCCATATATTTGTTGGCTCAATAATAGAGTCGTCACTCTTTGCTCGTCAGCATAATAATCTCCTTATGACTCTCAATCGTTATATCAATGATCAATAGAAGATAACACCAAACCCTTTTTAAAGGAAAGCCCGTCGGCCCACCATCATATACAGGTCAAGTCAATCTCCAACCAACGGTTCAACCAGTCTTCACTTGTCTTTCAGTAACAATAACAATAATTCAATCATATATTCACATTCGTATGCATATCAATAAGGTATTGCAATCAATAAATTCAATTTAGCTCATTGTAGAAAAACCCCTTAAAATATCGTATAGTAGACAGACGTAGTTTCAAAATGCACAGTTCCCGAAAATTATCAAATTACCAGAATTCGAATAAAATAACGTTTCAAAGCTTTACTTGTACTAAAGTAACATTTTTTAACAACCAGATAATTTTCTATTCTATAAAAGTCGCACATAACTCAAAATAACCGGTAGAAACTTTACAGAAAATATACAAATCGTGTAGAAATATCATATCAGAAACATAGTTGTGCAGTAAAACTTTCGTCAATACAAAATTATGCGCGTTTTTCGGTAACAGAAACACAAAACTGAGCACATAAATATCAAAACTCGAAATCTTCGAAATCAGAAATAGGATTCGGAGTCCTTACTGCGAGACAAACCAATCTTCCAACTGCGTCGTCGGACGAAAAGCGCTATGCCGCCTCCGAAATCAAGCTTTCCCTTCTCTTTCATTCTCTTTCTCTCTCCTGCTTTTTCTCTCTACTTAAAATATTTCCAAAATATCTCAAATCTGATACTTATCAAGCAGGATAGTCCAGGACGATGCCCAGATAGTCCCGGGGATGAACTCCTCTGGACACGGATCGTACAGACGAAAATTAATTCCAATTTGTTTTGTCCCTGGACGATGCTCTCTGTTCGGTTCGTCCCGACCCTTACAGGATCATCCAGACGAAATTGACAAATTCTTCATAATTTTCTTCAGTTCGTCCGGGACTAAAATCAGTTCGTCCGGACTAACAGCACTAAAAAAAATCAGCTTCAGAGAGGTTTTACATTATAAACATATTGTATAATAGCAACAATTTTAGGGTTTTAAATTTGATCTTATAATTTGAATTTAAAAGTTTGAAATTTAGAGTTTATCACCATAAACTTAAAACTGGTGGTGGGGGGAATAAAGATGAGCCCGATCAAGATCCCTTGGTTCCGTCGTCCCGGGCTGTCATGTTCCCTAGTCTACTTAGTCATAGGAGGTAGTCGACCCAACCTGACAGAATGCACCTTGTCGGCAGCCATGGGCTGCTTCGTCCAAGAATACCTTATAAACATGAGTTGGTGTTTGTCTAAGAGTATCTATCTGAATCTACCTTAGCTGACAGAGGGATTTATGCATATTAAATATACCCTATGATTCATAACTCAAGGATTTAACGCCTTTAGGGAACATACGGGCTTTGGTCGTAATCGTAATATAATGGTGCCATTTTGTGGCAAAACCACCTGATCAGAGGGCATGTGTCATGTCCCTGTTAGCAATAGACTATTTGAGGATGAATCGTCGTGATACACCCGACATGCATTTGCTTTTTGTGAGCTGAGGTTAATTTCAAATTTATCACCCCCGACAAACGGTTGCAGGAGGTGGCTGATTTTTAGTTTCAGTTTTAAGGTGATATATATTCGTTTCAGAGATTTAGACTTTTATTAGATTTGAGATTTGACCCCTCCGGTTGAGCTTTCCGATCAACACGGCCATCATCGGGGTGAAGTTTGAGGTCACTCGTATTTTTTGTAGGATTTTGGGAGGCATTTTGTTATTTCAAGTCATGTCAACTCCAGTCCTTTCAAGGAGGAGGATGAAACTTGAATATTTAGCCCGTGCAGCATTCTCGAATCATTAGATTTGAGACTTATATGTGACGATTGGAGCACATGCGGGTTGTAGCATTTGACCGTACGCAGCATTCTCGGTCATTGATGTTTTTAACTTTAATGCATTGACCGGAGCACATGTAGGATGAATTTAATTTAAGAGATCATATTTAATACATAAGGGGGTTTTAAAATATTTAAATATGATCCATTTAATCAAGTGAATTTATTTAGAAAAAATGCCCAAGATTTCATTTAAGGGCCTATGAGCCTTATGTCTGCTTGTACACATATTGCGGGTTCGGTGGCATTAATCTAAAATTTCTAGATCAACACGATCAAATGAGTGGTCTAGCGTATTTGAATAAAAAAAGACATTTCATAGCATTGATTTAACTTTTTGAATATACTTCCCCGTAACTATTGACTAAAGAATTTCATGTAGATTTGATGGACAATAAAATGACCCTTGCATATTTTACATATTCTTTGACCCATCTTTATATGTAGATTTCATATAGTTAAATGCGAATGTGTATTTTGGAGAACTATCCCTTTGGCTTCTAGAAGAAAATTTAAAACAAGGGAGAATATACATGTGATTAAGATTTTTCACACCACTAACCTCATGGTTGCCATTCCTTGTAAAGTAAGTTTATGAAAATCTCCAAATGAGCTTTCATTGCAAGTTCATCTTCTCCTTCTCATTACAACATTCAGTTAACAAGAGATTGTGATTATTAAAACCCATCTTTTTCTTATAACAGCTTGGGTTCATTTAAATTAGCATTAACTATCGTAAGGGTGTATTAATGCAAGGACTAATGCTTTTGCACTATTATATTTCAAGCATAAGCATTGTTACACCACCAAAAACCCATATGAAATAATGTTTTGGTAAATTATGTCTCTCAAATTCAAGCATAGTATGGTTCACAAAAGTATGCTGCAAAGATGTAGAGTGCTATTTTATAGTTGAAAATTTAACTTAAGTCTTTTAAATTCATCAATTTGAGCTCAGATCATTTTTTCCTTATTTTTAAATTGATTAAAAAAATCATAAAATTTCATTTTTTAATCAATTATGTGAGGGTCATTTAAGTATTTTTCAATCTTCACAAAATTTTAGCTAAGTCCAAAGTTTTCGAGTAAATTTTGGCAGCCTCCCGGCGTCCCCTCCCCTATGCCGGGAGGTAAGGGAGTGCTCGACTCGGCCGGATCAAATCGATGGCGAGGAGATTGGGAGAGAGAATCGATCCCATGAAGGTCTTCAAGTTTTCAATCCTTCGGTCGGATAAGCTCGACGACCGAGGGCTTCAGAGGACCGTATCACCGCGGGACTTCCTTCTAATTGCTCACACCTGTTTGAAAATTCATTTATCTTCCTTTTTTTATTAATTATTTGAATAAATTCTAATTGATCATTTCTCCAATTTTTCAAATAGCTAAGTCTTGAATTTTTGAGAAAAATCCGGCAGCCTCTAGGCGTCCCCTCCCCGATGTCGGGAGGTAAGAAGTGGCTCGACTCGGCCGGATCAAATCGACGGCGAGGATATTTGGGAGAGCGAATCGATCCCATAAAAGAGTCTTCAAGTCTTCAAGTGTGCGTGACCTGTTAATTAAATAATTTAATTTAATTTTAAAAATATTTGGTCCCCTCGAAAATCCTGCAGCCTTTCGACGCCCCTTCCCCTCGCGGGGAGGTTGGGGAGGGCACTGGCCCTTTGGCTGGATTCGGCCGGAGTGAATCAACGGCGAAGAGATTAGAAGAATAGTGTCTGCGCTCCCTTGGCTGGATAAACTCGACGGCCAAGGACTTCAGGGGACCGGATCAACCCAGGGACTTCCTTCAAGTCTCTAATTTGGCTTCGTACCCATTTTAAATCCCTCGCTTAAAAAAAAAAAATATATATATACTATAATATAAAATATTTATT